GACATTTATCTACCTGCATTTTTCAGGCAAGCAAGCTGAAGCATAACGGGATAAGTAAGTAACCCAATGACTAGACCACTTCAGGGGGACCTTTTGAGTCCTGATCAGGCAGTTTCTGACTTTAGAAAGTTTCCTAAGCTCCAAGGGGGACTGTCAATCAGCTCCAGCCCACCAACTCAGCAATCAGCCCAAGGCTTCCTTAGTTCAGCCTATGCTTTAGTAACAGGGCTTTGCTGACCCCTGATCCTTTCATCTCAGGCTTAGGGCTGGGCTCTGCTCTGGCTGGAAGCCAGTTAACGGCAGGTCCACCGTATTGGATGATTCTCCACTACCTTGTTCCTGTTCTCTGTACAGTTTGCCAAGGCATTGGTGCACTTCGGGGAACAGGAGAGCAAGATGCAGCCAGATGAATTCTTTGGCATCTTCGACACCTTCCTGCAGGCCTTCTTGGAGGCCCGGCAGGATCTGGAGGCCATGAGGAGGAAGAAAGAAGAGGAGGAGAGGCGGGCACGAATGGAGGTCATGGTGAGTGAGGCTGGGTCGGGACGAGGGGGGGGAGGCAGGTCTGAATGGGGGACAGGGTCTCTACCGTGGAAGTGTGGGATGATGACTCATCTCCCACCCCCCTTTGCACCCCCTGCAGCTGAAGGAGCAGCGGGAACGGGAGCGATGGCAGCGGCAGAGGAAGGTCCTAGCTGGGAACACGCTGGAGGAGGGAGGTGAATTTGATGACCTGGTGTCGGCCCTGCGTTCCGGGGAGGTTTTTGAGAAGGACTTAAGCAAGTTCAAGCGCAACCGCAAGCGATCCGTGAGCCAGGCGCCGGAGGTCACCCGTGAGCGAGGAAGAAACAGGCTACACTATTGACCCGAGGGCTGGGCCGGGCCGGTGGGGGAGCTGAGTGGAGGAGGTGGTGACTTGAAATAATCTGGTGCTGGGTTTGGAGCCCTGGGCTGGGTCCTGGGGGGCTGTGTGTGGCTGGACCGGGTGCTTCTCCACACTTCACCTGAAGGGATGTCTCTTACCTCCCTTGCACATTATTATTATATTTTTCCAGTCTCTGGGCACCCAGGGGTCATTCTGAGGTTGGCTTGGATGTCCCTGGCAGCTCCTGGCCTCTGGCTAGGTGATCTATGCAGAGATGGCACTATCCCTCATGCCGGGCAGCCAAGTGGGTGAAGAACTGTTCTAAGTCAAGACAACAGATGTCTGTGGGCCTTGTCCTCAGCTCTAGGGGGACGGGAAAGTGACCGACATGGACCTGAGGGACAAGAGAAGAGAAGCGAGGCCCCCATCCCTCCAGAAGAGGCTCTGTGAGCACCATATCTGGACACAGACACTCCTCTTGAAGGGAAACAGAAGAGGCATTAGGCATGCTAGCTAGATCAGTTCCTGGTGTGTGCCAGGAACGGGAGCATTGACAAGACAATGAGGGACCAAAGCCATCGGGACAGAGCCTCAAGGCCTGTTTCCTCCAGAGCAAGCCCTCCAGCCTCTCCTCCTTCCCTCAGTCCCACTTCCTTCCTGTCTACCAACACATGCTCACAAAACTCACCCTTGGGTTTCCAGCACTTCCGCTCACTGCCAGGTACGAGGGGAATCTGGACGGAAAAGGGCCTGAGAAACCTCCTCCATCACCACACCTCATGCTCTGGCCCCTGAGGATCCTGTAGCTACTCTCTATACCACCTGACTATCCTACAGCAAGGCCGTGACCACCCCCTGTCACCCTGGGTGCTCAGTCGGCCCCTCATCAGAGGACATCCCCGCGATGCTCAGGAGTGAGCCCCAGGGCTACCACTTCATGTCACTCACTCAGACACCCGCTCCCTTCTCTAATACCGGCTCCCTGGCAAAGCCACTCTGCGGTCTGTAGATTATGTGTGCTGGTTCTATGTGGTCCTGAGGGCCAGGGTGTGCCTCAGCCTTCCAAGGAGGCATTTGGACTGGTGTGGGGGGGAGGTTGGGGGGAAAGAGGACAGATTGAGGTCACTGGAGAGATGAAAATGGAGGAGAGCTCACTTCCTTGGGAGCGATCACTGCTGAAGGAGTCAAGAGAGGAAGACAGAGGCTTTCACCAGCTCTGGTGCTTCACCCTGATTTGTGGGAGTCCATTCTGGCTCTGCTGTCGACTGCTACCTTCCACGCTGGCTGTGGTGGTAGCATGCGGGCTGATGTATGTACAAGAGTGGTTTTTCTACATGGAAGGAGGCGAGGTCAATCCTAGCAAGGTCTTCCTTTCCATAGACCCTCATCTCTTCTTCTATGAGGTGAGCTGCCTGAGCCTCCTGGCCTTTCTGCCCCTCCCCTTTCTAGTTCTCATCCAATCCCCTGCCTGGCTTAGGATCAGCACCTGCAGACAAGTCTGCCGGACTGGACCTACTCATCAGCTGCCCGTCTTCTCTTTCCCTATGTGAGATTCCTGGGGCGAGACCATAGTAGCTGCGTGCATGTGTGGAAAGTGCACAAGGTGAGCCCAGCACGTGCATCGGTGGTGCAAGCGGGGCAGGCAGGCGTGTTCCGCCAGGAGGGATATGAGCAAGTATATACCTGGCTGGCACAGGTGTGAAGCGGCCACCTGAGATCCAGGTGAGAGCGAGATGGTTTCTAGGAAGAGCATCTGCCGAGAGCTGCATTTCCCCCTATCTGCACAACAAATCTTCCCACTTCCAGGAGCAGGCTCTGGGGTGATGGAGAGGGCGGGTTAGGAACTCTTAAGCTCCTCTCCCCAGGCTGGCCACGCTGAGCCTTCCCAGGGAACAGGGGAAAGTTCTGCTTCCGTCCATCAGACACATCCACATCCTGGCATTCCCACGTACGATGGAGGACCCGGTATGAACCAGGGAAGATGAGTACGAGGCTGTTCAAGACACATTGGCTCTTCAGAAAAGCAGTTTTGTTTACCTGTTTACAGAGGACAGTATATTGTTCCAGAACCCAACTTTCTTCCTGCCCACCCCTCAAACATTGTTTTCTTCCCTATTTATTATTTCCTCGATTTGGCCAGTGGCTCTGATGTTACGATGCCGCTGCCAGCAGGTCCCAGCAGCGCCGTGGACTGTGGACCGTTGCAGTCGCTCAGCAGGCAGGGTCCGTGGCCCCGTGGGGGTCACAGGTCACAGGATCAGTCCCTTAGGTTAAGTGATTGAGACTGTGGCTGAGTTCTTTGGTCTTGCTTTCTCTAGCGGGGGGGACAGGGGCCCACTTTTTGCCACCTGTGGATCCTTTTTTTCCCCTTTCCCTCTAGCTAATTTTGTGTCCAGTGTAAAATTCAGTCAAAACCTAATACAACCCTCTCGGCAGCAGCATTCTCCACCCCCCCCACACACACAAGGGATGTCTAGGTGTGTGTGTGTGTGTGTGTGTGTGTGTGTGTGTGAGTGTGTGAGTGAGTGAGAGAGAGAGATTGTCCATGTGGATGGGGAAGGGCTCTCCATCCCTTTGTGAACTGGGGTGCTGCCACTTTTCCCCGGGGACCTCTACCAAAGGTACCAAGGCTGCTGCTCTCATCAGCTGCCTCAGATGACAAAATGAGGCTCATGTAAAAAAAAATTCGTTTTTTACTTGCACCTTTTAAAAAAAGAATATATTGTAATACTAAAAAAAACCCCAACAAACTATTAAAATCCATACCACATACCACCCCTACCCAGCCTGTGTAGAAACGTGTGTTGTCTTTCCATGAAGGGACTGGGTGAGGGGTGGGGGGAGGGAGGATGGGCACTATTGCCAGCTTATGCCAGCTCTGAGACAGCCAACTGCTGTTTCCAGGAATTCTGCAAGTCAGGTGAGTAGCTTGGATTCAAAGTGTTTGTAATGCAGAAAACCACCAGAGAACTGGCTGTTAACCATCTGCCAGCACATGGGCACAGCACAGCGCAGAGGGGTCAGGGCAGGGAGTCATGGTAAGGGTAGACCCAAAGAAGACCATCCACATTAAGAGAACTAGCAAACCAGGCCAGTCAGGTTGGTGTGTGTGTGTGTTTAACCCAGCTGCTCTAATTCAGATCCTCATCTCCAATAGCCGACGATACCTGCAAGGAGCTCTAACATTTCTATACCTCCTGCCCCACACTGGTATCTTCCAAGGGGGAAGGAAGTACACAGGGTATCTGCCTCTTGGCCTTTCCAACTGCTTTCCCCTCTCCTCTTGAAGAGTGGGTCTGAGGATGGAATTGAAGGGTGAGGGTAGAGATGCAGCAGCCCAGTACGCTCCCCACAGACAAGAGTCCTCATTCTCGTATCTCCAAAGTTGGCATCGTGGCTTTGTGTGTGGTGTGGTGATGTTAATCTTCAGATCTCTTCTTTCCCTGCTTTGTGTCAGAGAAGAGGTGTGAGTACACCTGCCATGAGCATGGACAGGCGTGGGATAAGGGGTCAGTAGGAGTTCCCAGGGCCCATGCATGCATCCTGTTTAGGGGAAGAGGATAGAGGCCAGGGTTCCTGGCAGGTCAGTGCTCTTGTTAAGACAAAAGCCTGCAAGTGGCAGGCACTAGCTACTCAGGAAGCTGAGATCTGAGGATCACGGTTCAAAGCCAGGCTGGGCAGGAAAGGCCATGAAAAACTCTTATCTCCAATAAACCACCAGAAAACCAGAAGTGGTGCTATGGCTTAAGTGGTAGAGGACTAGCCTTGGGCTGAAGAGCTGAGGGACCGTGTCCAGACCCAGAATTCAAGCCCGTGACTGACAATAATATTAATAATAAAAAGCCTGCAAGTGTGAGGTGCATGGACTCAGGCATAGGGGGCCAAGGGGCTCTTTGGGGAGAGGAGGGAGAGGGCAGGGCTGTGGTTTTACAAAGCTGCCAGAGAGAGAAAAGTTGTGATACATTCTTTATGCAAGCGTGTGCTTTCCCCTTCTCAAAGTGGGTACCTCTGCTTAATGAGCCCTTATTCCCTCCCCAGGGAAGGAGAAGAGGGAACCCAAAATGAGGAGTTGTGGGCTAGGCTATCTGGTTGTCTGTAATCTTGAGACAGGATTTTCTGGATATCTACTATTGCATTTTTTTTTTGGCAACTGCTCCATTGCTTTGGAGTCCTGGAAGGCTTCAAGACTTCCAACATCCTCAGTCAAAGGAAGCCTTGCAGGTTATTGTAAACCACTCAGCAACAAAGGGTGCTCTTGGAGGAACCCTGACATCCATCCCAAATGCATCATCTCTGGGATAGCTGCTTGGGTAAGGGGGAGGGGAGAAGGTGCTCTAGGCCCGATGGAAGTCTCCCCGCTGGCCACCGGTCTTGCTGATGAGCCTGATGTCCCCCACCGTGATGTCCCGGCTGACAGCCTTGCACATGTCATACAGGGTGAGGGCGGCCACGGCAGCGGAGGTCAGCGCCTCCATCTCCACCCCGGTGGGGCCGCGTGCCCGGCAGGATGCCTGGATCACCGCGGCGTGACGTGTGCTGTCCAGCTCCAGCTGGATGTGGACGTGGCTCAGGGCCACATGGTGGCACAGTGGAATCAGCTGGCTGGTCTGCTTGGCTGCCTGGATTCCGGCCAGCTGTGCTACCATGAGGGCGTCACCCTTCTTCAGCTGGTTTTGCTGGACAAGCTTGAAAGCCACCGGCCCCAGAAGGACCACCGCGGAGGCCACAGCCACGCGGTCTGTGTCTGGCTTCTGGCCCACATCTACCATAGCCGCCCGTCCTTCTGAGTCCACGTGAGTGAGCTTGTCTGAGGTTGACCTGGGTCCTGAAGGGGCAGCAGAAGCCCCGGACCCCGGGTTAAGGCACTTAGAGTTGGTGTCTGAATCTTTGTGGGAGCAGTAGCATCTCCATGGGGATCCGGACCCCACCCGTGGTGGAGCCACAAGGGTCTGTGGGGCTCTGTATCCTTTCCACCAAGTTGCCATCTGGTTAGGAAAACTCACTCTGGGTGTCAGACCCAGAACACGGAGGGGATCCCGGGAGGAGAGGCTCGAACTGACTGGGGCGGATTCTTGGAGCTTTGAGGACAACCCTGGAAGGCAAGGAGGAGAGGGGAGAGAGACTAAGCCCAAACAGCAATCCGCTCCCCACTTTTTCCCATCCATCTCATGTTTTCTCTTTCCCATGGTGGGGGGCGAGGAGGTGGAGGGGGAGAGAATGGAAAGCTTAGCATTTAGAAACAAAATAGAAAACAGACCAAAAATAAGTCAAGTTTGTAGCTCTCTGCCAGTTTCTGAGATGCAGGGTCACTCCTAGGCCCACCTTCACACATGAACTTTGGTCTCCAAAGTTCTATGAAGCACAGCCTGAAGGCTTGGATCAAAAGACCTCTCAATGTCTCTTCATTTTTTTTTTTGCAGGGGGGGGTCTGTTTTAGCTAGAGCTGGATCTCACCTTGAATGACCAACTATTCATTCTTTTTGTCTTTACATTCTTTAAAGAGTTGGCAATCATGTACTTTACAGACCAGACAGGAGATGAAATACTTCGTCTGCTTAATAATGTCTGCGAAGGTTCCTGCAGCTGCCCGCCCCCCGCCCACAGCGTACACACAAACTGACAGGCCCATTGTGATGGCCCAGGCTGGTGTTACTTAGAGGTTGGTCCAAGGACCAACCAGCATCCTCTGAATGCATCTCATCCTGGCCTTCATGAATCTCAAACCCCAAGTGGTTCAGACACCCAGAAAAGTCAGGGGACCCTGTCCTTAGCAACTCTTCTTTTATGGAAGGCAGATAGGTAGAGAGATTCTGAGGACATGAATGGTCTCCTAGCCTCTAGCTTCCAACATCCTGAGACCCCAGCTTGTCCATGTCAGAGGTCTATCTTCCCTTCTACAGGGGCCTTAAGGACCCCCCGACCCCCGCCTGGCCACAATGGTACTTCAGCTTGGGTGAAGACCCAGCCAGATGACCACAGTGCTGGAGGTGTGGGGAGAAGGAAGATGGCCAGATTTCTTCCCACAGTCTTGCTTCCCTTGTCCTGCTCCGGGTGGCTGGCGGGCTGAGTGGCCCCTGGCCTATCTCTGGCCCATCTCTGGCCCACCCCAGCCTACTTTCCTCCAGACCACCGGGCTCCCTCTGTACCCACCTCTGGAGAAGAGAGCCCTCTCCTCCAGCTTTGTTCCGTGTGTTCTCTTGTCTAGGACTCTAATCAGGGGGCCTAGATCTGGCCCAGGGGTTGAGGCCTCTCTTGCTTGGCTCTAGGCATTGTACAGAGGAGCGTGGTAAGGAGCCCCTCCAGCAGTTTACAAACAGGCATTTTCATTTAGTGCATCCTACACTCATCAGACGTGTCCTGTATGCGCATTTGTCCTGGAGTTAGGAAACTGGACACTGGGATTTGGGCCATCTCCTCGCTCAAACCATGAGTGCAATTATCAGCTATCTGTGTCAAGTTGTACCTGGTCCAGATGCTAACAACATACCAACCATCAGGATCCACACACAGCACGTGCTCAAGACCACTCCAGACCAGAGGGGAAGGGATACCTGTGACTGGCTGTCAGCGGGGAGACGCCGGCGCTGAAGTTAAAGCGCTGCTTTAACCAGGAGCTCAATTCTTAGGATGTGCAATCATTAAGTCTGGAGACCCCCCCCCACCCTTTCTGCACATACCCCCACTATCTGGAGAGGGAGGAAAATGGTCGATTCTGGGGGCATGAAGACCAGAGGAGTTGAGGACAGGAAAGAGAAGCAACAGTACAGGCTTAAAGGGACAAGAAAAGACGAAAGAGAAATAGAAGAAAAGTAAGGGTGAGAACACCAGGATGTGATGCAGGAGCTCAGTGCCTGAACCCCATCCCTCAGGAACTCCCCCCCCACAACCTGATACACACACGACAGACAAGGGCGGGTGGTTACGTACTGCTGGGTCACCCACCGATGAGGATCATGGGCCGGTTCTTCATCTGGGCAATATTGAACATGCCTGGGGAGAGGGAGAGATGAGGGAGACAGGGAGAGATGGGGGAGACAGGGAGAGATGGGGGAGCAGAGTTCACAGAAACGCTGAGCCACTGGCACCCTGACAAAAGCCCCCGCCCCACGCATCAGTGTAAGGTCACCCAGAAAGCAGCTGGGGGGGGGGGGAGAGCAGGGCTCTGTCTTTCTTACCAAAGGCAATGTGTGCGCAGTGACACCCCTCTCTCTGAATTCAATAAAATAGCCCAAGAGGATTTCAGGGAGGGAACTTGCTTCTCCCAGGTCAGTTACCCCCAAAGGGGGACTAGGATGGCACCCCAGGTCCAGAGCTCCAACAGGGGCGAGGCAACAGCAACACTCGGACCCACCTGGCCCACTTCCTCTCGTCTGTCTTCTCCCTCCCTCCCTCCAGACCCCAATCCTGCTGATGATGACACCCTCACCATCCTACCCCACCCTTACCTGCGTGCTGCCTCTTCTTCCTACCCACAGCAGCCCCTATGATGCTCAGAAGCTCCTCCTCCGAGGCCCCTGCCCGCAGGTGGTCCCGCAGGGATACCTCCGAGTTCCCAAAGAGGCAGACCTGTGTGTGGGGTGAGGACGGCATGCCTCACTATCTGAGCCTCCACCTCCCAGCCTCCGAGCAGTTACCCCAGAGCCCCCCCCCGCCTCCAAGCTTAGCATCAGTACCAGCCCCCTGAAATCCCCAGAAGGATCCTGAACCTGAAAGATGGAGACTCAGCAAAACAGAGCTTTCTCAAGGCCCGTGTCTGAGTCAGACTCCTCTCAGTGTTTGCTGTGTACTTTTAAAAAAGAAGAAATCGCATTCAAACTTGACTAGATGCTCCCCAGCTCCAGCAAGGGGCTGGGTGCCACACATGCTCAGAGGTGGGTGAGGTGGATCGGGAAAACCAGGCATCATGTGTGCTAGCCCTGTACCAGGCACTGTGGACAGAGACAGATCTGAGAAGCCCAGGAGGGCAGAAATGGCTGGAGAAGAGAAGATCCCGAGGACAGAAGGTTAAGTAACTACTTCCCTGAGCCAGCTGTCTCTGGTCTCCACCTACACAGCCCCCAAGTGACACTGCCCTTCTCTGGTACTGTGAGGACCTCCTCTATGGTGTCCATCTTGTGGGCTCCCCTTCAGCTAGCTTCTGCCTGAGAGCTCAGAAGAAGGGGGAAGCTCATGGGCTCTCCCCTGCAGGCCCTCTTTGGACTGAGGGGTTCCTAGCCATAAAGGCAATGGGTCCTTTCCTACCCATGGCGCTGAGCACACAGAGCATGCTTGTGAGATGTGTCACGGATGCCGGTTGCATGGTGGCGCCCACAGTCTGATGGAATGGGCTGACCAGGTGGGGTACCGCACACACAGATCCTTTATCCCACCCCTCGGATAGCACTGAGTGTCGGAAAGGGCTCTTGGTAAGCCGGAAGTGACTGGAGGGTCCCCAGGAAAGAAACCATAGAGACTAGGTGTTGACTCTCATACAATTGTTCCAATCTGACATCAGTGATTGGTCCAGCCAATCAGGGAGCTCAGGCGGGAGGAGAGACGGCCCGGCCCATTCACCTTGAGGTTGCCGTCAGCTGTGATTCGAAGTCGGTTGCAGGTCCCACAGAAATTCTCAGACATGGATGTGATAAAGCTGACCTGGCCTTGGAAGCCAGGGATTTTAAAGGCCTAGGGGGAGAAGGGCAGCAGAGTGGCCGGGGTGGCCAGGAGTCCAAGCTCTTTGTCCCCGAGGACTCCCACTACTCAGCCCTCTCTCAGCAGAGCCCACGGGACGTGGCAGCCAATACTTCAGTGGGACGGCTGACCCGTGAGTCCCTGATCCTACCTGGCTCGCCCTATAGGAGCCCTGCCACAGACAGACAGGCCAGCCAGAGAAGACCACGTGGAGAAGCGGGGTAGCACTGGCTGTTGGGGTGTCCTCTGAGATGTTACCTACTCCCGCCCCCCCCCCACTGCCTGCCCAAGCCTAGTCTGCTTCCACCATGACAGGGAGGTGGTCACAGGGCACGGGTTACGGCGACTCTGACCTCGCCATGCTGGCTGCCAGCGTGGTCCCTGGGCCCCGCCCGCTCTGTCTCTAACCTTGGCAGTGCTGGATTCCTCCTCTGGCAGCGTTTCCAGCTCAGGCCACCGCTGCTGGATGGTATCCAGCATCTCCTTGTAGCTCACCATCTTCTTGAAGTTCCACTTGTTACCTGGATTTCATTGGGGTTGCCGGGGGAGGAGGCAGGGGCTGAACCAGAGTTGAAGGGGCTCCGACCCGGGGGGGGGGGAGCACATCCTGCTCACACTCGGCTCTGAGAGTGCCCCACCCCCGCCCCGGGGCACCACTGACCGTCGAAGGGCATGTACTCTATGAAGCGCATGTCCAGGGGGAGGCCCTCGGCCAGCGCCACGAAGTCCAGGAGCTCGTCCTCGTTGACGCCTCGCATCACCACACAGTTCACCTGGACGGCATGGGGTGGGGGACACCATTGGGACTGTCCCTGTACGTTCTCCCATGGGAAAGAACTCGGGGGCTCTGGCACCTCCAGAGGGCCTCCCTGGGGGCCGCAGGCCTCACCCCTCCCCACCCAGGTGGGACAGGCCATGGGGTCTCCCTTGGCCTGAGGTGCTGCAGGAATAAAGGATGGGCTCCCTGGCCAGGTGAGCGGGGTGTCAGTGGAGCGCTAAGCTGGGGTGGGGTGGGGGAGGTCCGAAGTCAGCATGGCGGTGGCAGGTTCTCACCTTCACGGGGTTGTAGCCCAGCTCGATGGCCTTGTGGATGCCCTCCATGACCTTGTGGAAGCCTGCAGGAAGAGGGGACGTCACCCTCCAGGTCTTCATTCCCTCAGCCCCGCCCCAGTCCACAGGGAAGCTCAGGCCTTGTCCTGAACTGGCCAAATGTTTCCTGCAAGGGGCGGACAGTAGGTGCTTCCAGTGTTTCAAGCAAAGAGGCAACACTGAGGAGCTAATGGAGGTTATGAGCCATGAAGCACTTTTTGAGTAACTTCAATGTAGGACAGTAACAATATATATGTGTATGTGTATACACACACACACACACACACACACACACACACACATATACACTATCTATCTATGATTGACAGGATGGCAGCATGGAATCCTGTTTGTAGGATATTGTTCTGCTGAACTTGTAGTTTCCTTCCAGTGTTCCCGATCATCAACAGATTACAAATGCTCCACAGGCAGGCGTTGGATCCTGGACCCTAGCATCTGACCACTGATCTTGGCAAGCCCTCTCATAGTCTAGATGAGGAAACTGAGGCGAGAGAAGACCTTCCTGCTGGAGGCCTCATGCTCGAGTTTGTTGAATGCAGGTTTCCTCCATGGCTCCCCCAGTCACAATCCATCTTTCATTCACTTGAACGCTGCGAGCACTGCGGTGGTGTCCTCTCCTCACCTCTCCCTTCTCATGCTCTAGCCCCTGATCATTTGAGCACCAAGGGTCCCTCTCCCCTCCAGGCTGCGCAGCCTGTGGGAGGCCCGGAGGGAGGGGACCAGGGAGGGCCTTCCTAGCTTCCTTCCATTGTTCTCAGGTTGCCTGGAGAGCTGGAGAGCAGGCAGAAATAGGCAGTTTTCACCCCAACACAGCCAGTCAGCCTGTGTGATGGCGCGTGCTCTGCTCCAAAGGCAAGGCACACACAGGAACATGAATGGAGGGATCCCCTGTCAGGAGGCTCTGTCCCCAGCGAGCATGTGGTTGAAGGAGATGAGGGCCAGGCTCACAAAGACCCTTTCTCCTTCCCACTTCCGAGTCCTGTCCCTGCTCATGGTCTCCATCCAGGGGGATGGAGGATGGAAGGCCTCCTCCATGAGGTCCTCCTAGAATTCTGCTCCAAGTTGCCTCCCTCCAGTAGCACTTCAGTTGACATAAGACCAACAAAGGATATCCTCTGGGCTTTTACCTTTTGGTCCTCAGGAGCCAAGAGGGCCAGGAATACTGAGGCCTGTGTGCCTGCATGCTGCCTATCACACAAGGCCCGCCCTTGGTGGGGAAGGAGACATAGCTGGTGCTTAACATGGAAGGTTGTAAATGCCAGCTGAATACCAGGAAGAGGAGGATGGCAGGGCTGATCTCGACAGTGTTCCCAAAGAAAGGAGTGGGGAGTTGAGTTGGCTCTGCCCAGCATCCTTCTCACCTCCAGTGTCCTCAGTAATGGTCATCCCCCCCTCTCCAAAGGCCATCCAACCCCAAAGACTTTCCACATGAAGACCATGGCCAAGAGAAGCCAGGCACTGTCCCAAGGAGACCTGCGGCTTGAGGCTGGCTCTGGCTGTCCCCAGATCAGATCTAGGTGAGCACAGGGCCATCCACGGGGACAGGACTGGGCCTGGAGTCTCAGGGTGTCCCATGATGACAAGAAAAGCCCACCATGCTCAGAGCTCACTACAGGGTGATGAACTCAGTACCTCAGTACTCCATCAGTTGTCTAGGTGTTCAAACTAAAGAGTCTTTCATTCTGTTAACCCCCTTAGTCCGGAGCAAACTGGGGGTGCAATAGGGAACTGGTGGATCACTTCATTAGCATTTAATTCCCCAAATCCCCAGCCGATAATTGAAAAGAGCTAGAGAGTGAGCAACAGGTGCCCCGGTTCATCCATAATCCAGGTACCATGAGAAGGTAAGCTTTCTTAGCCCAGACGCGGAGGGTCCTGAGAGGGCCTTGTTCCCATGCTGCATCTGCTCACCTTTCCTGCGGACGATGAACTCAAACTTGGCGGGCACCAGAGTGTCCAGGCTGATATTGATGGCGCCGAGCCCTGCTTTCTGGAGCTGGGGCAGCAGCCGGGCAAGGTTGATGCCGTTGGTGGTGACACCAATGGTCCTGAGTCCCTCCAGCTGGTGGAGCCGGGCTAGAGAGACAACAGGGAGACATCAAACCGTCTGCTTGTGGTGAGGCTGGAAGAGGCGCTGGGAGGCAAAACTTGTAGTCCAAAAACAATGGAGGGAAAGGACTCTCAACAAGCTGTGTTAATAGGAGACTAAAACCATGCTAGGAATAACCAGAAGAGGAGTCCCTAGGTAATCCCTCTGTGCTAAGCACCTTGCTTAGCACAGGCCTGCTACAGGCTTGGCTTATGGCAACCTTAGAACAATGGCTATCCTCACATAGGAAGGAAGGAAAGAGACTCAGGAGGAAGACGTTCACTTCAAGTCATACAGCTAGTGAGAAGAGCAGAGTTGAGCGCACTTGATTCTGGAAGTATGCATTTAATTCCCAAGTACACCAGTGCTGTGGCTCTGTGCAACAGAAGCAGAAGGATTCCAACGAACTGTGACTGCCACGCCTAGAAGAACAAGATCTGAAAATCCCTAACTACACCGGGAGGAAAGACAAGAAAGCCACAGATAGCCCAGAAAGGTAAAGAAATACAGACACAGAAAAAGCAGAAAAATCGATGACTCTTGAAAACAGTAATAATAATAATGAAGAAGACAAGTGCCTGTTAGCACCTCTTCCCCATAGATGCCAAAATTTATAGGTTCTCAGGCCCCTGTATGAGATGGTGGAGTATTTTTTTGCACATAATACTATGTACCAGCTCAACCTGTTTTGCTCATGACTGGTGCCCTACCACTTGAGCCATGCCTCTCCGGGGAGCTTTACATGTGGAACTTGACAAAGCCTTTGACCTGAATCTCTACTTCTGAGAATCTAATCTAAGGAAATAATCATGAATGTGAATATTTACCTCCAGGAGGTTTTTATTAGATAACAATGCATAGGAGAGGAAAATGAGTTAAAGTGGGTTTTTCTCTAGATGGCAGGATATTATGCAATCAAAAGTGGCTGTGTAACTTAACATGTGAGGCACGGACAAATGCACAGGCTGTGAGGCGGGGAGAGCAGGTGAAACAGTGGGTACAGAGAGCCAGGGCGGCAGGCTGCCAAAACGGAGCAAGGACAGGACTCACAAAGCAGCAGCAGCCACGTTCTCTACGCTCATCTCAAGCACACACATATGACTTGTATGGACAGAAAAGTTAAAAAATGGAAGCTGAGGAAGAAAGAAAAGAACCTCACTCTTTTTCTGCCATCGCAGAAAATGAACAGTGACAAATCAACCCTGGAGACACATACAACCAACGGACTTTTTCTTTTTTGTGCCAGTCCTGGGGCTTGAACTCAGGGCTTGGGTGCTGTCCCTTAGCTTTTTTGCTCAAGGCTAGTACTCTCTCCCTTGAGCCACAGCTCCACTTCTGAATTCTTTATTGGAGAGAAGAGTCTTACCGACTTAGGATTCTGCCCAGGATGGCTTTAAACTGAGATTTTCCGATCTCAGCATCCTGAGCATCTAGGATTACAAGCATGAGCCACAAGTGCATGGCTAACATAAGGACTTTTAGAAAGGAAAAGAAAACCTTGAAAAACCTTATAGGAAGGCAGCCCACTGTTTCAGGGAAGGGGATATAGCCTGGGGAGCTGGTGACTGGCAGAGAATGTGAGCAGAAAGAGAAAGCAAGGCACTGTGAGTGGTAAAATATGGTAAAAATCTTCATATACTTGAAATTCAAAATGTTACTCGTACACATCTCATGAGTCAAAACAATGTACAAATGAAGACAAAATTTAAAATGGAACATAAAGTAATAGTCTTAGGCAGGAGAATAATGAAATAGAATATAATATGCAATAGAATACAGAATTTCAACAATTCCAAAAGTTGGTTGGTTGAAGGCTTAGTAATATAAACTCTGACAAAATGTATTAAGGAAAAAGAGAGGAAGGCTAGACAGTGTGTGTAGCTCAATGGTAGAGAAACTGCCCAGCACACATAAAGCTCTAGATTCCATCAGCCGAGGATGGAGGGAGGGAAGGGGAAAGAGAGAGTGAGACCCCCCCCACACACATATAGAAATGAAAAGACAGGGAGACAGAAGCAGACAAAGAGACAAAGGCATAAATCAAAAAGGTTTTTGTGTTTTTGTTTTTGGGTCCAGTTGTGGGGCCTGAACTCTGGGCCTGGGCACTGTCCCTCAGCTCTTCAGCTCAAGGCTAGCACTCTATCACTTTAGCCACAGCACCACTTCTGGCTTTTTTTCTTTTTTTTATTATTTTATTTATTTTTTGTGTGTGTGGCTTTTTTTTCTTTTTGCTTATGTGGTGCTGAGGAATCGAACCCAGGGCCTCATGCATGCAAGGCAAGCTCTCTACCACTGAGCCACCTTCCCAGCCCCTCAAAAATGGTTTTTTAAAAAGCAAAATTACTAGTAAATACATATTTAAAAAATATGATCACTACTTTGTACTACCAAATCTGAAGTCAGGAATACAGGACACACTTCTCATTAGAAAGATGTATCAAAACCGCCTCCAAAGGAAAAGTAGAACTTGAATAAAATGACACGTCCTAGAGAAACTGAAGCAGCAGTTCCAAGAAAACTGTTGTCAAGAAAATCCCAGGCACCTTGAGTTTCATAGATTGAGATCTGGAAAACTTTGAAAGATGTGATTAACACCAATTTCTAGAGTCTCACAGACAACAGAACTTTTTTTTAAAAAAAACAAAGTCTCCCAGATAAAATAAGAATGAACACTAGCTTATTCTTACCCAAAGCAGCTAAGCCAGGCATGAGGAAGGAAAACTACAGACCCATTTAATTATAAAATGCAGACCAAAACAAACAAACAAAAACTTATGCAAAATACTAGTCAGGGGAACCTAATAGTTGTGGATACACCATGATCTGCCAGGATTTATTCCAGGTGTTACTTCAGACAATCTATACATGTCCCTCAGAATGAGAAGAAACCTATAGGTCATCCTGTTATATGCAGAAAAAGCAAGTGATTAAAGATGTAAAACCTTAGTCAACTAGAAAAGTAACTCATTGGACAGATGTTATTTGTGAAAAGTATATAGGAAGCATCATTACAGATGGGGAAATACGAGAGCATATCCCCATTGTTACTGCTCTTCATTACTATTTGCTTGGCATCCTGGCCATGGTAACAGACAAGAAAATCAGGGGAAAAAATTAAAGAAAATTTTCCTACCAAGAAAACCAAATATTTAGTTACAGAAGATACAGTTACTAGTATAGAAAATTTAGAGGACTCTAAGACACACTGTAATACTGCTAGGAGAGTTGGTAGCCTGGTAGGATAAAAGAGGAACATATCAGAAACAAACTAACAAAATCAGAAAATGTGATTTCTTTAAAAACAAAATGACACTTGGGCTTGGCTTTGGCTTAGTAGTGTAGCACTTGCCTGACATGTGCAAGGGTGCTGGGTTAATTCAGCACAACCAGACAGAATAACAGAAAACAAAATTGAAAACACTTTATGTTTCAGGATTCTCACACCAGATGATTAAAGAGACCACAACAAAAGATTACAGTGAAAGAACCCAATGGTGTATGTATGTATGTGTATGTATACAACTGTAGTGTAGATATACAATATATATATGATATATCATATTACTATAGGAATATAATGTATAATGAATGACTATTATAATTACATGATATATAATATATATGTTATATACATATAATATAATAATATTTAACATATTATATATAATTAAATATATTATATCATCTATGACCAAAGACACACAGAAGAAATTAATTTAGGGGCCCATGACACCAGAGAGGAGGAACTACTTTGTGAACATTTTAGTTCTAGAGAGAATCAAAATCAGAGGCCAGCAACAGACCAGGAGGCCTGAGCAAACAGCAGGGCAAAGAGGAAAAGGACTCAGGAAGGTAGGCGCTGTGGGCAAAAAACGATGCTAATTTTCTAATTCCATGCTATTAAAATCCCAAGAGGATTGCCCAGGGCGGGTGAGAAGCTGCCACTCTTAAATTTACAGGGATAAGGCTTAATATAGCTAAACCACTGTTGAAAAAGAAAAAAACAAACAAACAAAAAGGATTTGCTCCAACAGGTAATGGTCTTATTATAAAGCTACAGTGATTAAGATAATGCGAAGTTGGCACAAAGACAGAAAAATTGACCAGCAGAGCAAAGCAGAGGCTGCAACGGATCAATAGCTTCAGGGCAGATTGATGAAGGAAGCAGCGGCTGTTCAATATGAGGAACTAGAAAACGAAATCAGCCATCTATATGGAGAAATATTAAATTGGACTCCAAAAAAATCCACAGATGAACTGAGGACTTAAATGTAAACTAAACTTAATGACACTTACATTTAACTGGGAAACATATGTAGTTGATTTGCCCTTGGGCTAGGTGTTTCCTTCACAATCTACAAAAAGCACCAACCATATAAGAAATTGCTGATCCATTTAAGAACGTCTGTTATTGAGAAGAAACATCCTATAAAATGTAGTGTTTTTATTTTTTCAGATTGGGACAAGATACTTACAAGATAGATAAATAACCTTTATCTATGGAGGTGAAAAGGCAAATAATCATATGAAAATATGCAATAGACATGACCAATTATTCTACAGAGACAAGGGATACACACGGCTAGCTCACATGTATGGAGATGCCCGGCTGCACTATTAGACATGGTGAAACAGTGCAAGGAAATCAAATTTTATACTTGTTTGGCCGGCAACAATCCTGAGCACTTGGGTGGGAGTGGAGGAGGCCCTCTTATGCAATGTTGGCAAGAGGCACAGGTGCGAACCACCCCAGATAAAATAATGTCATTCAATGCTTGATAAGCAATGTACTTGTTATCTTGCCCATGTAATTGCAACCCCTCTGTACGGTATTTTCACAATAAAAAATAAAAATTTAAAAAAATGTCATTGTCCAGTCATTTTCCAAAGGTCCCCATTCACATAGCAATTCTATCCCTATGGAAACTGCACACTGGGAAGTGCAAACGAATATATGAACTCAAAGCAACACTAGTTACCCCAGCAAACTGAAACTGACTGGAGTACCCAGCTGAAGGGATGATGCATTAGAACAGTAGCTCCCAGCAAAATGGAGAGGTCTACTCTTTGGATGTGAGGTTTGAGTTTCACTGCAGTCAAAAAAGCCAGCCCTGAGAGACTACACACAGCACGGATCCTTAAAAGTCACCTAGTTTTTTTAAAAAGCAAAAGGATGATAAACATTGAAGAGTGCTCAGATCTCAGGGGGGTGGTGGGGAGGGAAGAGGGAGACATAGCCAAAGGCCACAGACATGGGAAAAAGTTGTTCCTGTGTTCTTAAGTCTTCTGGAAACATTGGTGGGGCAGTGGATTTCCATGAACCAAGGTGAGCAGTTTCGTAGTATTTTGTGGATCCTATTTGTAAAAGCAGAAGAAAATACATGCCAATGGCTTCCCCAACACCCAGTTGGGTGTTATACTGTGAAGTCTGAAGAAAGGAGAAAGGGAGAGAAGAGAGGAAAAGGAAGAAGGCAGGTGGAAAAGACAAGGGAGGGATAAAGTAAGGGAGAGAAGGAGAGAGGAGAGGAAGGAAGAGAAGGGAGAAGGGAGGGATGGAAGTAAGAGTTGTAACGCTAAATGACTGAGGCGCAGTCTAGCTCATCTGACAGCCAAGTCCTTTCTGAAGTCAGTATTGAAACAGTGCTGCTGACTTCCCTGATATGCAGTTCTTTCTTTACCTCTTTTGTAAAATCCCTAATGCACTGTCCAACGGGTAGATGGCTAGCCACAGGTTATTCCAATTTAAAAGGTAATAACACGACAAGTTTAGGTTCTAGGGGTTAAAGACTTCTCATTGCTGGGGCAAAAATACCTGAAGCCTGTATTTAGGCTCACACCCTCAGAAGCTGCAGGCCACCATGGAGGGGGAACTCATACTGGAGCAGACCAGTTTGCATCATGGTGGCCAGCAAGTACAGAGAAAGAATGCATGTGCTCCCTGGCTTCCTCTTCCTCCCCAGGCTACATGTGCAGGACAAGTCCTCCCCCTCGGGGAATCTTCTCTGGAAATCTCAGGAGGAGGATCGCTCTACTAATCTCCTAGTCACTCCCCAAGCAAATCAACCTGACAATGAAGACTGACCAGCACACTTGTCACTTTAGCTATGGGTTAAGGTCTGGAGCATCTGCTGTGGCCACTGGCTATCATGACTTACAATTTGTAAGGTTCTAGTGGACAGTGCTACCTTAAACCCAACTGTGGGCTGGGGATGTAGCTAAGAGACACAGAGTTTTCCTAAGATGCATGAGTCTCCTGGACTCGATCCTTAGCACATAGTAAGGCTAAAATGAATACAAAATCCTTACCTTAGCTGTAAGGAAGGGGCAGAGGAATACCCAAATAATACCAGGCAGGCTGGAGAAGCACCACAGAGGCTGGGGGTCGGCTGAGGGCGTTACAAGTGACTGCAAACAGGGGGAGCCAGTGAGCCACTAGGTGCAGACCTTTCCCCTGATTAGGTCCCCAGTATGAGTTTGGGCAGGGCTGAGGCTCAGGGAAACCTGGCTCCTGCAATCCTTTCCCTCTGCTTTGGGTGAGAGACCTAGAGCAGGAGACAGAGTGTGTGTGTACACCCAACTTGACCTTCTACCCCTCCCTCCAACCCATCGCTCCTTCCTAACCAGCGTGTGCCTGGCATTCATCCCGTTGTGAGAGACGTGTCTTTGCTATCAAAGTATTTCTGCTTCCTTTCTGTTAATCTTGAGAGAATTATTTTTCTGAAGGGTTCTTGCTTTGGCCAGGTAGCTCAGTCCTTATTCATTAGATTTTAATTGCAAACCTCCTTTTCCTAAGCACTTTAAGACATCCAGTTAGAAGATCCTTTGTATTTTAATTACAGCCTGTTCATTAAGCCACATCCTTTTATAGATTGTGGATCTGAGCTCAGCCAATGTGAGCAGAGGACCGGGGCCAGCTGGGTTAGGGATAAAAGGAGAGCAGCCTGCCTGCTTTGTGTGTTTGCTTGCCAGATTTTTGGTTGATGGCGCACCCTTCTGCAGAAGTAAACTTTGCCTTGCCGAGTTGGTGTCTTTTATTCCTATGTGACACCCCAATATCTCAAGCTATTACTAATAACATGCCCATCCCAAGTCATCAGCCTGGTGCAGTGATCCCACAATATCACAGCAGCAGCTAATCCTCGGGGGAGAAAAACAAGTCCCAGGTTGGGTAAAGAACCTGAAGGGGTCCTGGGGACAGGGACTGTCCCTGGGCTGCCAATGGCTCTGTTGGTTCTTCCCACTGTGCAAGTCAGTCAGTGGCTTCCAGAGACAGCTAGGGGTACCTGAGACTGTTCAGTTATTTGCTGCCGCTTGGCCAGCCAGAGATCCATCCATCCTCCCTTCCTCCCTCCCTCCCCCCCTTCCTCTCTGGGCTCTCCCACAAGGCCCTGGCAAGCAGCATAGAGGTCAGGGTGGAGCCCACACCCTGGAGAGGGAAGAGCAAGTGGCCTGGATGATGGGGGCTGGGCCTGGCAACAGCTGGCCCTTTCCCGGAATCCAGCCTACCTTTCACCTCTTGGGAGCTGTAGAAACCCAGGGTTGGCTTGCTCAGGGCGGCTCGTCCAGCATCGAGCTGCTCCCAGGACCCCAGGTTGAGTGGCCAGTGAGGGTGAGGGGAAGTTGGCAATGGCTCATGGAGGAGGAGGGACTTTGAGGAGGCCCTGGGCTCCCACATATGTGGCTTCTCACTCAGCCTCAGGCTGTCCAACGCACTGGGTGGGAATCTTTAACAGCTGGGCTTCCCCCTCTGCCTGGTCTCTTGCGTCCCTGGCACAGTACTAGACATGTCAGTAGATACCCCAGACACTGTTCACCAAAGCAGCAAACAAGGCAGTGAACTGAGGTTGGGAAATCTCTGCCAGAGCAGCTGGGAGAGGGCCAGCAATAAAAAACGTAAGAAGCTTATTGTCCCTTGATTTCATCATCTACAAGCCGGGAGCAAAGGTCTCTCTGCCTGACCCTGGGCTTAGAAGAGGAAGGTTACAGAGCTACCCCTGGGCAGCCGCATGCTGGGTGGTCATGCTCATTTCCTCCTTTGGTTAGGGTGCTTACTACAGGTACACTGCTGCTCACTATCTAGCTGTAGGACACACACATTGCTATTCAAGCAAATGTGTCCCACTCCATACGCTGTACTTATATCCCTTCATTCACTCAACAGGTATCATTACCATCCAGCATGGATGCTGCAAACAGCAACACAGAGAGCTTTCATGCTAGCAAATGGAAGAGACAGACAAAAACTAAACATGCTGCTGGGTGCTGGAGGAGTGCACTATAATCCTAGCTACTCAGGAGGCTGAGATCTGAGGACCAAGGATCCAATCTAGTCTAGGCAGGAGAGTCCATGGGACTCGTCTCCAATTGACCAAAAAATACCAAAGGTAGAGACGTGGCTCAAGTGGTAGCGTGCTAAGCCATGAGTGGAAAAGCTAAGCAAGAACAAGAGGCCTCGAGTTCAAGCCCCAGTACCAGCAAAAATAAATAAATAATATAAACACACAACAAAGTAGCAATCCCAGAAAGAGGTAAGAGTCAGGAAGAAAACTAATCTGGGTTAAGAGCAGAGCTTGCCACACTTTGGAACATGGTCTTTGTTATAACTACACAATTCTGCAAGAGTGACCTTTGACTTATGCAAACGAATGTGCTTGGCTATGTTCCAATAAAACTTTATTGATGGACACTGAACTTAAGATTTCAAATGAGTATTGTGTGGAGGAAAAAAATTTTGTTCCCAACTATAAAATTTAGAAACATTTAAATCCTTCTTAGCTTGCCAGATTTGTTTCATAAGCTGTAGCTTGCCAACCCCTGGGGGAGAGAGCGGCTGGGTGTTAAACGGGATGCACTGTACACGGAAGGGTCAAGGGAGGTCTGGCAAAGAAGACAAAATTTGAACAGAGACCTGAATGAAGCCAAGCAGCGAGACTTGAGCTCCTCTCAAAGGAAGAGCAAGTACAAAAGTTCCCCAGGGAAACTGGAACGGGAGGACATGGGGCCAAATGGCCGAGGTGTCAGAGGGCAGCGGGATGCCAGTCATATGGGTTCTCCAATCAGGTTGTCAGTGTGACAGGGAGTCCTGGGGATAGGGCACTGAGTAGCTTTGTGAACTTGGGCAAACTAAATTCATTTTATCTCATCATCTCTTATCAGAATGAAAATACTACTTCGTCCCATTGGTCTCAGAGGGCAGAATTTGTTGAATATCGTGTCCAAGTGAGTGGTAACGGCCACTCTTAGCATTAAATTGGGGTCTGGCTGGATGAGGCAGGAGCCAGGAGAAGGGAGAGACGTGTGTCTAACTCACCCACAATGTCCACCACGTCCGGCCGAATGAGCGGCTCTCCGCCCGTGAGCCGGATCTTGTCCACCCCTTCTTTGACAAAGAGCCGGGCGAGGATCAGGATCTCTTCCGTGGTCAGTAGGTCAGCCCTCGGGGTCAAGGGGACACCCTCCTCAGGCATGCAGTACCGGCCTGAGGTAAAGAGTGACAAAGAGGTAGAATATAGATATGGCAAGCAGGCTCAAGAGCCCCCCTATTTCCCAGCTCCCTATTAGGCCAAATGTCATGCCCTCCCCCGCCACTGCCCCAAAATTCAGCTGGAAGATGACAGGACTTTCCACACCTGAGTGGTGCAGACACCCAGCTCAACTTTCTCATCTCTGAGGGATTAGCACCCCTCCCTTCCCTATCTGGCCTTGGCATCCTTCCTTGGTGGAGTTGAGGGTGTGGTGAAGGGCTGAGATCAGAGCCTGGCACAGGACAGGGAGATGCCCATGACGCTGGAGCCTTCAGCTCATGGGCAGCCCTGGAAAGGCCAGGATCCTGGGACCACTTCTGCAGCAATGTTCATCCTCCGAGTTCAATCTTATCTGTGGATACACCACAGGCGAAAGCAGTATTTTCTGTTCTCTTGAACCAAAAGGTCCTCAATTCCACCTTCTGCAGGCCAGGTTAGAGGAATCCCACTCTACAGATTGGAAAACTGAGGTGCTGCTTGATCAGGGTAGGGGAGCAGAAGGGAACAAATAGATGAGCTGTGGAGCTGAGGAGGGGGGAGGGCCCCATTCCCTGCCACCACTTTCTGTAGCACAGCTTTACCAAGGGTCCAGTCAAGTCACAAGATCATGTTCAATAGGAAAGGGAATCAGAATGCACGACTCCACGGGGTGTGGTTCTGCAAGGTGTGTATTTTTTCACCTACCAGGTATATAGATTCCTTATTGTGAAGTAGAATAGGAAAGGGGGAAAGGAAAGAAAGAAAGAAGGTAAGAAAGAAAGAAGCGGAAGTCCCTCTAGCGGTGGATCTACTCCCCAAGACAACCCTGCATGGCTTTAAGCAAAGAATGCTCTGTGTATTGGCCTGGCTCAGCCCAATTTACCACAGGACCGGGGGATCCATGGCTGGCATCGCATAGCACTGCCGTATATATCACATTTGTAATCCCATCCCACTGCCTATGGCCAGAATTCTGGACTTGGGGACCAGAAGAGAGTGGGAAGAAGGCGCCCTGAAAAGTGGGAGGCCCAGGACTCCAACTGAATTACCAATCCAATCACCATCCTGTTCTCAAATCGAATGCCCTGTAGGACCTAGCTCCCATAATCCTACCTGGAGCCCCACCCCCAAACCCTCTTGGTCTGGAAAGCAGGAGGTGGTGGTTGGAGACATTGGAAGTCAGAAGAGAGTGATGGAGGAGGATTTCTGGGTATGGGAAAATTCCAGAAGCCACTGGAGCAGAGGAACCACAGCCCTGAGAGGGCCCAGGAAGGTGACTCACATCGGAGGTTGCATTTCTCGGTGAGTGAGATCCTCAGGTAGCTGTGCTGCCGGCCAAAGCTGTCCGTGAGGAAGGCTGAGAAGGGGGCTGCGTGCTCCCTCAGGTACTGCAGCCTGGTGGGCAGTTCCTGCAAGGACAGAGCAAGGAAGAGGGATGGGTACCTGCTCTCCAGGGGCACGTGCACAAGCAGACCCACAAGGCACTGCTTTCTAGCAGTCTTGACCCACCATGCACTGCTTAGTGTGTACAGCTCCTCTAACTTTTCCTCTGGACTGACAGATTGGGAGACTGGCTGGAGAAAGGCTGACCAGCTGGGCACTCAGCTAAGGGAAGGATCAAAGGACAGAGGGCAGGGCCTTGAGAAATCAGTCCTTAATCTTCTCTGCCTTCTCCAGGGCCAGAAGGAAGGATTAGGCAGCCATTGTGTGGGACTTTAGAGAATAGGATCTCTGTTGCAAGCTCCAGCGGAGACAGGTTTACAGGAAGAGCTGTGCCCTCTTCCCTCCCAACAGCTACTTGGAATTTAGTGACTCGTTCATGGTGCCAGGCTATGACTCCTCACCCTACTACCCACCTGGGGTGGGGCGGCTGGATGAAGGAGGAGCCCAGACCAATCCAGGAACTGGGGGAAGGTCGGAGGGCTGTGGAGCGTGACACAGCACTATCTTAAAAGCAACACAGGGGTGTTGCAATCATCAAACTTGCTCTATTCTCTCTCTCTCTCTCTCACACACACACACCTGGACATTAGGAAACGTCATTCCCTTGTCTCTTTTCTCTTCCATCATTGCATGTCTTACTTTCCTCCTCCTCCTCCTGCTTTCTAACACTTTCTTTCAATCTCCTGAAGGAAAACCAATCCCTACTCAGGAAAGGCACATAGACAGGACTTAGAGGGAATTATGGGAGTACACAGCTGTCTGAGGCAATAATATTAAGTCCCAAACCATTCCTCATCCAAGGGTTCTAGCCTGGACCGGAAGTTTCCTTGTGTCCAGCACAGCATGTAGGAACCAAGTACTCAATGAATGAATAGGCCAACCTCCAATCTGATACATAGGCCCACTTCCAATTGAATCAGAAAGCTGGTGTTAAGTGAATGCAGTCACACTGAATTGCTCTGTTTCCAGGCTGGTCTCCGTGGCCAAAATGGTTTAGACTGGTACAAGATTCTCAATGTTGACAGTGTATCAATGTCATGGAAGAGCTTCTAGAAGGGCGGGATAGCAGAGTGCGGCCCAGAAGGTTCCGATGGAGTCATGCCTTGCCTTCTTCCTGTGAAGCTGGGGTTGGGAGTACCAGGACAATGCCAATATTGGGTGCCATTTTAACCGGGCGTTGGCAACGCTGGTGCTGAGCATCACATTTGGTGTAGATGCACCTGAATTACAAACTTGGTGCTGTTGAGCAAACAGCCTGGATTCTCTAAACTTTCATTCCTTCCTCTGTAAAAATGGAGACTTATATTATACCACCTAACTTAATGAAGATGCTCCTGCCATACCGCCACAATCTATGACCCTTTCTTACTGTAACTCCTACTTGGACGTATTCATTCATTAACGAAATACCCACAGGGGCAGTGTAATAGATGCTGTCATGGATTTCCCGGCTTTGTGATCAATTTCCCTGCCATGTCTTCCAGCCCTATTGATGGCAGAGGGTCCGAGGCTGGGAGTCTCAGAGAGGCCCTCACATCATTCACCCACAGCAGGCAATTCCCCAAGACCACTGACACTCCTATTCCTGACCAGGCATTGCTCTGCTATGGGTTATCTCACATCTACCCAATGACAATAGGATTTGGGAGGGAGGTAAAAAGGAAGTTTGCTCTGGGAAAAGACTCAGTCCCCAGGCTACCTGATTGGAATAAGGGCAGCTTCCAAATAGTTCTACAGTCCATACAGAGAAGCAGGTTATTAGGGCGGAAAAGAGCATATTCCAAACCCCAGTACCCATAAGCCCCAGTGTTCCAGCTACTGGGATAAGATAAACTAGGGTTTCCTCAAAATCAGTCTATTAAATAAGATGATGCAGGAAGGCCTGGTTCTTCTCGCTGGTATTCAATCCCTTCTGGCACACTGAGCTCAGTGCCTATGTCTTGCCCTGAGTCACCTTCTTGCTCTTGCCACAGGCAGTGTGACCCATGGCTTCAGGAGGGCCCCCAGTCTACACAGAGCTCTAGATAAAGGGATGTGCGGAGGCTGGGTTTACCCCCCCCCCCATAGGGAACATTCCCTGGGACCGCTCAATCAAGATCACCCACTGGCCTACACACCTCCGCATCTCCTTTGTACCTATGGAAGTAGCTCAACCTGTCCTTGGACTGAGTCAAGGTCCAGGTCCCTTGGTCACTGTCCACACATCCAGCCAGCTCCCCTGCAGGCCTTTCTTCTTTCTCATGCTCACATCCTGACACAACACAATGACAATGGCCTTCTGCCCTGACTATCCCCAAATAGGCCACCAGTGCCCTGTAAAGGGTCTGGAGAGGGACCCCATAGGAAGGGAAGAGAAGATGATGGGTCCCAGAGGCTCCCATCTCTGCTGCTGCCAACTGACAAGCTCTCTGGGTGGGCTGAGTATAGCTCATCACTGCTGAAATTCCCTTCAAGATGGATGGATTCCAGTGCCCTCTCCTTCTGCCTAAGATGCACAAGATGTAAGGATCCAACCCTCTGGATTTACAAACAGGAAGGGGGAGTAGCAGCCCGATAAAACTGGAAGGCCAAACCTTAGGTCTCTGTTCCATGTGACTCCTCACAGATGCATTTCAAGCAGCCAAAACTATCTGCTGACTCCAATGCCTTCCTAGCTCTATGTGAGACACTGACAAGAGATACCTAGAAAGGCAAAGGAGGGGCCCTTGGGAACTCCCCATCCAGAAACAGCCCCAAAGGAGATGGCTCTATCCTGAGTGTCATATCCCAAGTGGTCCAGGTGGATGGTGACAGGTGGATGGTGACTAATAGGAAACAGCAGGTGCCAAGGGCCACACAGATAGCAGCAATAATTGCAAACGTTTTCTAGGACACAGCACTTCCCTGAGCCAGGCTGAGTACCTATATTAATGCATAATCTCTACAACACCCTGTGAAATTGGTGCTATCACTCTCACCCTAGAGAAAACAGACTCTGAAAGGTGAAAGGACTCACTCGCTGAAACTCGTACATTCAATTAGGTGCCAGACAGGATTCTAACCCTCCTGCTCTGCTTCGAATTCCATGTTCTCCCTACTATATCACATGTGCCCTTGCCATGTATAGTGGGAGGGGGTAGATGCAGCCTCTCTCCCCAGGGTGTCCATAAGAAGATGCCCTGTTAAGACTTTCCATTCCTCACTGAGTGCTGGAGGCCTATAATCTTAGCTACTCAAGAAGGCTAATAGCTGAGGATTGGAAGTTAGCTTACTACTTATGCAACCCCAAGAGACTCTTATGTTCACTGAACCAGAAAAAAAGCCAGAAGTGGAGGTGTGGCTCAAGTGGTAGAGCACCAGGCCTGAGCTAAAAGGCTAAGCAAGAACATAAGGTTATGAGTTCAAGCCCCAGTACTGGCACTGAGAACAATTTGAGTTTCTGCTTCACTGTTTTACAATAACTTTGATGAGCTCACCTGGAAATGCACTCACCTTCCTGGAGACGGAATCAAGGAGACCACAAAGTAAATAATCTAGGCCAGGCCCTCTCAGGAGAGGCACAGATTAAGGAAGAAAGGGGATTATGAAACTTCCCTTTCCTTGCATTCTTTAAAGGTCTCTCAGGCCTGGCTGTTGTGTTTCCCCATTATTTACTCTAGGGAGTCTAGCTTTTCAAAGATACTGAAAAATTCTCCACTTTCCAGCAACTGTGGTTGCTTATCTGTGGATCCCAGAGGGGCTGAGGTCAAGGGAAAGCAAGCAGTCTGAGCAGAAGCCTGGCCCTCAGGGAGCACAAGATGGAGGAGTAAAATGAATCATGCAGAGAATCCCAGAACTTGTAGTTCTTTTCCTAGTGTCCAGGACTAGATTTCATGACTCTGGCAAAGAGATTTCACCAAATGAAAACAGATGCGTGTCCACAGAAATGTTCTCTTAATCACAACAGCAAAACAACGAACTGAAGACTTGGTAACAAGGCATTCTGCAGGGTGCTGTCAAGAATCCAAGGCGATCCCACCCCAAACTTTTTGAGAGAAGCAAAGACCTCTCAGCCTAAAGGCCAGACACGGCTCCGTGCAGGTCCAGAATGAGGCTGACCCCTTCCCCAAGGGGTCACGGGCAGAAAGAAGTTAGGACAGACAGCTACTGGTGGCACAGAGCTGACACCATTTTAGTCAGTGTCACACTGGGGAGCAGATGGGACCGGGGTGCAACACCTAATCACACACAGACACCCCAACTCTGGGGATGAGGAAGAAGAAAACGTGTCAGGGAGTGTGTCCAAGTCCCCCTTCCCTGGGGGCACCCCATGTCCTGCAAGGCTGAGACCTAGAAAGGGGGGGTCGAGGAGAGACTGAGAAGCCCCCCATCCACCCTCCTCCCCACCGCTCCCGCATGCCCAGGGTGCCCCCCCCACGGGCGTGGGGTGACGGGCCCGGTGACTTTCGGGGTGAGGAGTAGCTAGCAAGCCCCTCCCCCTTCCCCAAAGAGCAAGAGGCGGGCGAGGTGGGCTCACCTCCCTGGTGGGTGGAGGGGCCACCCCGGGGCGGGGCTGCGTCACCGGAGCCCCCGAGCTGCAGCCCCGGGTGCCGGACCTCACGAGCCACCGCAGCATCCGGAACGCCGGCTGCGCCGCCATGAAGCCAGCCTTCGGACAGCGCCGGCCCCGGACAGCACCGGAGCCCCGCACTCAGCTGCCGGGTCATCCGGGTAGGGCGGGGCGGGGGCGGGTCCCGCACAGCCAATCAGCGAGGGGCCGCGCCGCCTGGCTCTCTGGGATTTGTAGTCCATCCCCTGCGCACGCCCTGTTTTTTTGTTTTTTTTTTTCAAATGGACAAGCTTCAACTCCAGAGAACCAGAGACTTCAGCCAGGACTTGTTGGTACAAAGATTAAGGACAAGGGAATGAGTGTCTGATTTAAGGGAATGCCAAGAAAACAGTGATCCAGTTATTTTAATGTAGTATTCTTTAAAAAAAACATCCAAGTCAATTTAGAAACTAAGGTTTTGCTCTTGGATCAAGTTTATGGTGTCAGCTGGCTGCTTCACGGAGGTTGAAATCTCTTCTGAAGCATCTTCGTTTGCATTTACATGACTCACTTTATCCCAGTTCAGACTCTGGTTGTGGGAGTGTGAGGGCTCTGTCTTTCAAGACCCGCACTTCTCTGACTGCTCCAAAAGTACATTAAGCCTTGGCCTCTGCCTTCAAAACAAAAGGAAAAAGAGTGCATATAACTTTTGGAATGCTTCCTGCTCAGCAAGCATCACTTAATACAACAGTCCTGGCATGAAGACAATATTCATTGTACAGCTTAGGAAATATGCTTAGAAAACCTAAGTAATTTTTCCAGTTCTGCTGATAGATGTCAAAACTGGGTTTTAAATTCAGAATAATCTGGTTCCTACAACAGTACAGTTGACTCAGTATATGTTGTGGAGAGTGCTCAAGCTGTGCCTCTTTTAATACAGGTTTAAGTCTTCTAAGATTTTAAATGTTAATAAATGCATAACAATGGCTTAGAGAGTAAGAATCACTATTCAAGATTTCCTGTCCATTGTATCAAAAAATGCCACTGGTATTAGAAGAATCAAACGATCACCAGAACAGACTGATGCTTTCTGGAAATGAGACTATGGCTCTTGGCCTTGAAGAATTGACAAAACAGGGAAGCAAAAAAAACAACTGAATAGAAATTTTATAAATGTGGTGAGACTCTCAGAAAAGCTTTGATGATTTTAGCCTTTGAGTCAGACTGACTGTCTTATGGGTTTGCTTAAAGTTCAGAGAAGAGATTTCAACCTCCGTGAAGCAGCCACCTGACACAATAAACTTGATCCAAGAGCAAAACCTTAGTTTCTAAATGTTTAGTCAGCTCTGTATTAGTTTCTGATAGCTACAGTAACAAGTTATCCCAAATATTTAAAACAAAATTTAATTCTCTTACAGTTCTGTAGGACAGGTCTCGGAAATGAGTCTTGCAGGACCGAGGGGAAAAAAAATCAGCTTTTGTTGCCCATTTCTGTATCAGCCTTCCTTGGCTCATGCAGCCCTTTCCTCCATCTTCAAAACCAGTGGTGTAGCATTGTTTGTCTGACTGCCTGAAATCTGCCTTTAAAAAAATATGCCAGTACTGGGGCTTGAACTCAGAGCCTCAGGCTTTCATGTGGCTCTTTCAGTGAAGGTTGGTGCTCTGAACATTTTGACCTATACCTCCACTTTCAGCTTTATGCTGGCCAATTGAAGAGAAGAATCTCAGTGTTTCTTGCCCAAACTGGCTTTGAATCACAAACCTCAAATCTCAGCTGCCTGAATAGCTAGGATTACAGACCCCATACACCAGCTCTGCCTGGCTCTCCCTCTCTCTTCTACCTACCATGGTAGTTAGGAAGCACATAGCTCAGATGGATGTTTTGCTGTGAATCCCTTTTGTGGGATGATGGAAGGGCATCCTCCAAAGACAGGCGACAGGTGGTAGGGTAATGAGAGAAGTATCTACCAGCTGGCCTGCGACCAGACACTGGATGTAATGATAGTGTTATATCTTGGAAATGGATCAGAAGAAGCCCTGGGATGAAAAGATCCATATAGGATTTGTAGCCATATGGCATTGTCTCATTCCCCTGTAACAGGAGCCTCAATTGTACAGCCATTTAGATGAACACCCCTCCTCTCTGCCATCAGCAGCAGCGTATTTTCTTGGCAAATCGAGGCAAGGGAGACATTCTTCTAAGAACGTTTGAGAAAATATTGCTTCAACTATTTCTAGCATTTCTTTTTTCTTTTTCAACCTCAGTGAGTTCTTTATTTGGCCTCTTCTATTCCCTCCACACATCCGTTTCCACCCTGTTCTGGGTGACCTGTGCCAGGGGCACAGAAGGTGTTATCTTCCTACATTCATTCAGAAGGTATTATCTTCCCCCCTACATTCATGCTCTTTCTGGCTATGCTTTCCAAGTGGAACTGGTCAGTAGGAGCAGTGGCAGAAGAGCCACGAGCAGGAGGAGAGAGAAGTCAGAAGACTGAATCCTCCTGATCCTTTCTTACCCGGGGTTTGGCAATGTCTGAACAATAGTAGTTCAACAGCTACATAACTGCCACCGGTCTGACATGACTCTTGTGTCGCCATTTCAACTCTCACAGGGGCAGTCACACTCCTTCTCCCCCTTTTCCCTCCAGAGAGGGGTGGGATTTGCCTTCCTCTGATGATGCTCACCGGGCACCTTAGCATCCCTGCTGGCCCCTTTAATCTTGCCCACCTCTCAAAAACAGTCCCTTCAAAAGTCTCATCCTGAGTATGCCATCTGTCCTGGCTGTTTCCATGACCCATACAGGACTCAGGGGCTTTCTCCCTTCCACTGATGCCCATTGGTAATAGTGGCAATTATAACAGAAGGGTATCATTTTTTCTGATACACCTTCTGTGCTGTATGTTGTGAAGGTGGCTGCCAGTTCTCAATTATGTATAAAGATGGAAATAGCACCCAGTGTGTGGTGGTGAATGTACCGTAAGGTCTCAATAAACCTATAAATTAAAGGGGGCAAACCATATTCTTGATTTTTCCTTTCTTGTGAGGTGATTATCAGTCAGGATGGGCTAGGTGGTGCTGCTGTAATAAAAAACCCTCACATCTCCATAGTTGAAAATAACCACCGTCTGTTTTCTCACACGTGCTAAAGGTAGCTGGAGATTTTGTTTCTCGGCAATGTTGCCCTCACTCTGGGTTGCAGGATGATGAAGCAGTTAAGATACACACACACACAGACACACCCAGTATATATTGATGGAAAAAATAGGGCCAAATGCAGCCTGACTCTTGGGGTTTCTTTCTGGAAGTGGAACAAGCCACTTGGTCACATGGAATTTCAGAAGGAAGAGAATCTCAGTCTACTTGCAGAAAGGGAGAAGCAGCTATTGGTATACAGTAAAACAATCTTGCCACAGACACAAGCTTTCCCTTCAACTCTCTCCACCCATCACGCTTTCCAATCTCTTCCACCAATTCATTCCTGTCACACCCCTTGCGTGCTGAAACCAGCCATGGCAGCCTCAGGAGTCTGGCTTAGCTTCGGTCTCCAGGTTGTAAAGTGCTTACATCGGTGATCTCTTGTTGTAAGTCAGCCACTGACAAAACAAAAGAGGATTTGCAAAACCTCTCTTCAATCCAACCCTTCACAAACCACGGATTTCCAAAGTCAATACTGTTTTCGTAGTCATGGTAAGGTATGATTTGCTTGTCCACTTTCCTTCTCTTACTACTGTGTGGGAGAATTCAAAGGCAACACAAGGTGTGGTTCTCCCAGAGACTGATTTCAAAAGCAGAGAAACAAGAGAGTGGAGGTGTGGTTCAAGTGGTGGTCAAGTGCCAACCCTGAGCAAAGAAGTCACTCAAGAGTGTGGGGCTTTAGGTTGAAGCCCCCAAAAGCAGAGAAGAGTTTCCTTTGGTTCCCCCAGTTCTTTTCTGCTTCTCTGCTCTACATGTAGATATCTTCCACAATCCCCCAGAACAGTCGAGCGGGGCAGAACTGTAACTGAAATAACTACATTCTAGTATTTAAAAAAAAATTATCAATGTCAACATCAAGATCAATTCTAGGTAAATAAATTCTACTAGTTTGAATGCAAAATACAACTTTCCTTTTCTCTTTTCTAAAGAAGAGTATGGAGCTGAAAGGAATCAAAATACAAGTCCAAAAATCTCATGAGTCAAGGCTGAGGGATAGCTGGGTGTGTTGGTGCACACCTATAATCTCAGCGCTGGAGAGGCTGAGGAAGAAGGATCTTGTATTTGGGGCTAGCTTGGTCTGCATAGCAAGACCCTCTCTCAAAAAGGTTGAAGGCACCAATAGATATTGTGATGTAGAAATCGTATATGCGTGCATATGCATGATAACGTGATAGACAATGGTCACACATGGTTTGTAGTGGATGGGCATGTTTTGATGATGTTTGGACATACACTTTTCTGAAATAGTTTGGATCTGGGAATTAGACATAAGGGATTGTAGTCATTAGGAAAGATGGAATTAGGCCAATGGTAATGAAGAGAAACATGATTCATCGGCAAAAGATTACAGATTTCTAGTCTTAATCATCTCTTCATGGAAGAGCATGGAGTCCAAGAACAAAGAGGTTTTATTTATTTATTTACTGCCCAAGAAGATTGGTGTGTGAGGGTGGGTGGCCATCAGGTGCGGAATGCTTGACCTCAAGAAAGAAGTCTCAGTTGCTGCTTTGGGCAAAGGAATAGCTTGTCTGCATCTCAGACAACTTCTTTGGTGATGATGACCATAACCACCTCCACCTCCTCCTTCTCCTCCACCTCTGCTTTTATTTTTTGGTGATGCTGGCAATCAAACTTGGGTCCTAATGAGTACTAAACAAGCACAATCCTCCTGAGCAGCAATGTCTCGAGCTCTGACTTCTGAAGGCTGGCCTCTCTCTAATTTCTGACTGAGTTTGTCCAGTGGGAAGCCCTTGGTGGTGGGGGGGCAGAGGGAGAAGAGATATGAGGGGATTGGGACCTTGCTTCTTCTCTGCATGGCTGTGCTGGCGTCCATCCACTGCAGTCAAAGCTTTGGTGAAGGTTGTTTTCCGGTGTGGCCTGCTCCCTCCCTGGGTGCACTACGTGTCTCTCACCCCTCATACCTTCAGATCTACTATACTAACCCTCTCCCTGCCCGCCCCCCC